AACCCGCCGTTCCCCCAGCCCCACCCTTATGACATGATTTTATTGTCTTGCCCGTATGCTGCTGTTATTGTGAATGGCTATGTTGTACTATCGTTGAGGTCAAGCCTAGTGCATTGTTGAATGCATGTGTTCCGTGCTATATACGTTCTTATACTTATACTATCTCTGACCGTCTAGGTTCCGTGCAATTGACCGATTGGCTGCGCTGTGTGTTTTAAAGATCGTATATTTGGGCGGCAATCTTAAGATTTAATCTTAATTTTAATTTTATAGTTTTTTTCAGTTCAAATATACACATAACAAATTCAAAGACCGCATAGAAAGACCAAATTACACCTAGCAAATCCAAATATACAAATGACGTCATAAAAAGTCCTAATACAACAATAGCATGTTCAAATGTAAACATAGAAATCTCAAATTCAAATGCCACATAGCAAGTTCGAATGTATGCTTGAATTAGAGTAAAAGGAGGCTAAGTGGGTGGTTAGCGGGTGCTCTGAGGTGCTTTGCATCTTCTTTACTATCTAATATCTATCATCCTGATCTCTCCTCCTTTTTGTGTCTGTTACTCTCTTGTAACACCTCTAATCTTCGGCACTTATATGACCTTATAGTGTTGCAAGTGCCGTAAAACTCTTACTAAAACTAAAAAGGAGGCTAAAAGTATAAGAAGTGTATCAAGGTAAGAATAAAAAGGGTTTGGGTTTTTATGGCCTCGAAAAAGTTAGACGTAAGCCGTGTGGTGCCACAAGAGAGAAATCACGTGAAACGAAACTAATAGTTAAATTATGTTAAAAACGGAAAATAAACCCACATGTTAAAACCAAAACGAATGGTATGATACTAATCAACAAACTGTTGGTATATTATAGAACTAACTGATTGAAATCTGAAGCCAATTTTACTTTTATTTACTTATTGTTGCACTAGAAAACGCTATAGGCTTGCACTGATCTGAAGGCTGCTACCATTTTCACTATAGTCACAGCTTGTGATTTTGCTCCATCATCTGGGCAATTGTGACCTTCCTTTGTTGAAGAGTCAGCTGAGTGAGCATTTGGTCTTTTGCTTAAACCGAGTCACGGTTGCAAATCGTATTTCCAAATTCACAAGCGTTCTAGTAGATGTTAAGAAAAGGTGTGTAGGGGTAGATATTTCTTCCCCAATCTATAGATGAGTTGCCATTTAAAGCCTGCCTTTGTGCACTAGCGTTGTTACATACAAAGCATACTTCCTTGTGGGGGTTGTTGGAACAGTTTCTTAGAGGGATGGGTTGAAACGAAAGATGCCATTCCCTCTACTTGAAAGTCGTGAAAGACCAGGCAACCCTCGTCACTGACAGCAAATTAGGCCCCTATGGCATCGTGCGGTTCGGTCTCATTCGAACCTGCATTACTCGAAAAAAACATTGACCATTCCGTGCTCTTCATCGGTTTCTCTTCGTCAACAGCTTGCTACCAGCCTCCTCAATAAAGGCAAATTTCATACCGTTAAATGTTCTGCATCAGCCGAACAGTATATTGATGTCAAGTTGCTTCAATCCTATCTGAATTTTTTTCCGCGGGAGTATCCTCGGGATCTTTTTAATGGTGATCAATTCACCTTAAAATTAAACTGCTTATGATTGTTGTCAACTCAGTTTGAGCACATTAAAATGCTTTTCACGCTGAATAATCTTTGTGGAGGATATTTGCTTTTGCGATGTAGCATTTGAACTTGCTATTGTGTTGTTACATTTGGATTTGCTATTTGTACATTTGAACTTGTTACGCACAATCGTGCACTAAAATTTCCTATTGAATATTTGAACTTTCTATGTGGCGTGAAACTTTGTATGTGGCATTTGAACTTGCGATGTGGCATTTGTATTTCCTATGTGTACAACTGATCTGAAAAAGACTATAGAGTCTAGATCTATACGATCGTTAAAAGTGGGTTCGCAATCTTAAGATTGCCGCGCAGTTAAATACAACGTACAGTTAAAACAACCTGGCGCCGATCGCTAAATTGTGCGAAACACATGTACGTTGTACGTGTTCACCGAGTTTAAATTTGCTTAAATGGTGGATCGCACGCAGACTACGACGTTTTCAACTCCTAAATAACTTTATTGCTTTGAAAGGCCCTTTCATTAAACCCCTTTCATGCACACGTGCATAGTGTATTAGGCGATGCTTTAGATTCTATAGGTGTTTTACGTCCTGTTAAAGACGGTCCTTAAAACTTTACGTTTCCATTTCATCCAGATCTAGGTAGGCCTATGAATAAATCCTGCCTGGAGCGACGTGTAGGCCCTACCGTAGTTTTGTTAGGCCCTAATGCTTTTTCCGAGGAAAATAATTTTGGCTCACGAGTGCTGGGGAAATCATGTTGTAGCGAAATACGACACATCTCTGGCCCATCCTACGGGGTTAACGGAATCGCGATCTTTTCGGGCTGTGGTGATGCTTGGCTAGGTTGAAGCGCCGAATAAATCGGAAATTCCCAGGATGACGTTTCCGTGAATGGAAAATCCTATATATAGCGCAGTCGCTTGCCACACTAGCCACACGCTGTTTTCTCCGGACAGTCAGCACCATCATATTGATCAGCACCTCGCCTACCGACCAAAGCAGCTGCACGCTCGCTCTACAGATTCTTAATCTTGAAAACTTATTTCTTCTGATCCAGAACCTTTCAAGGTGAGATTTTTGTTTTTGTTTTTTGTAAAATTAGTGGTTTTGCGGATGCTTTTTGGTTCGTTATTTTTATTACCGGTATCTTTTTGACGTTTTCAATATAGTGCGATCAAAAACTCGTGGGGCAACCACAGAATCTTAGATCAAGACAGGCATGCGCATTCGTTGACAGAACCGGCGAGTGAAGCGCGCTGTCGCGTGCTGAGCTACCAGCCACATTTGGACACCGGCCACGCGCTGTTCATGCAGTGCTAGACGCCTGCCACCATTTTTCGTTGAAGGTGTTGTAGGCCCTACTTAATATTTGCGACTGCGAGTGTGTTAAATCATCAAATTACGGTCGTCTGGATTTCGTATACATTATGAGCAGACGAAGTCATACTTTATCACAATGTTTAATAACTGTGTTTAGCGGTTTTACCACAGAAATGCTCGAGGCCGAATTTTTTTGTGAAGCACCGTGTTTGTTTGTATTGTGTGCAGTGGCGGTGGGTAGTGAAAGGTTCACGGGCCTGCGCAAGCCTCAAGTCCCGTCCGCAGCAACAGGCCCCACAATGCACACAGTACTGATTTGCGCTAGGCCTAGAGATTTGCCCCAGGACAAGCTCGAAACCTGACCTGCTGACTTGTACTGTCTCGATACACCGAGCGAGCGGCACGCCGCGGTACAGCTCGATGGCGTAGGACAGCTCGATGGCGACAAGACACCTCGATGACTTGTGTTCAAACAGCAAGCACTGCTCGCTGTGTGAACTTTGAACCGTGGAGGAAGGGAGAGGCTGGGCTTGTTTTGGTGCAAGGCGTAGAGAGCTGAAGTCATTTTTAACTTCCCGCCGTTGATCAGCTAAGCGAATGGATAAGTGAGAGGGAGCGTGGTATTGTAGTAACAGAGACCTAGGTTTCTGGTAGTAATAAGAATAAGTTGACTTAGATTACCCTAAAATGAAAAACTCCAGGGGTCGTTGTGATTGGCTTTTGTATCGTATGTATGTAACCTATTTTGTAGATGTGTTACACTCACAGTGACATAATACAGAACATTTAGGAGACGGGCTAGGCCTACTTCAACCCAATGTCAGGGCCAACCTGGGCTGAGAGGGAACAGCGCCCCAGCAGAAAGACGGAGGTTCTCAGTAAAAATTTCTTCCCATACGGGAATCGAACTGAGGTCTTTTGCGTGCGACGATGAAGCGCTTGGCTCGTGCACATTAAAAATAAACAGGCCATAACATCATAAGAATAGCCGATCCAATATTAATTTTTAAGTGCATTGAATAGAGCTTTTTGTTTTTTACAACCGAACTATGAAAAAAACCCCGAACCGATCTTGCACTTTTGGTGCAAACCTCTCAACGCAAATAACCAGAGAATCTTCTGTAATATGTACTGAGCCCACTGCCACGAGAGTTCGCGACGTCACGACAAAGTACAGCAGGACTGTCCGCGAGTCACAACTCACCGGAAGTTCCCTCCGGTAGCAAGCGGGAGGCAAATCAAATCACAAGTCTGCTCGCAAGCCTCTAGCGCAAGACGTCCGCTGCTTTGCAAGCCCTCGATTAACCGAGCAGAATCCAGCCCTAACTTTTGGTCTTCGTAGCTTCGCGCGGTATAAAAATAAGAGTCAAGTGTAGCTCCTTTCGGAAAGATTAAAGAATACCGGACCACTCGTACATGTATTATTGCGAGAGAATGGGGGGCTGTGAAAGGGATTGGGGGGTTGGGGGGGGGGTGTGTCTAAGCTAGGCCTACCAGTGTAAGAGAGATTAAAAACTGGGGAAAATCATGAATTCCTAAGGTTGATGAGACATAGGCAAAAGTTGTCCTAATCTGCTGGTCCGGTAGGCCTATTCTTCAATCGTCCTCCTTTTTTTTGTTTCTTCGCTCTGTTTCCAGCCCAGATCGAGCATATTTTATGAATAGGTTAGGCTAATTCATTGTGCTGGTATTTATTCAATGTGTTTTTCAAGAAAAGTAAAGATCTAGGCTCAGAAACAAAAATCTGCACAGTAATACAGAATAATAAGTTGCAGATCAAAGTCGAAGCGTTGAAATTAAGTAAAAAGAGGAAAGCATCTAAATTACTAAGATTGAGAATGTGAACAAGTCTAGATCTAGAAGTCTAGATCTAAGTCTAGTGCTTTGTATATGTCTACTGGTGTGTTGTGCGGTGCAGCTAACATTTTTGTAAGTGCTTGTTTGATGGGTTGTGTGTACGCGCGTGAGAAGAAGATATGCTCTTCTGTTTCTTGAATATTTTTCTTACATGTTCTGCAGGGTATCATTTTGTTGATCCGTTTACTATGTCCTTGGGGGCTCTCGTGGCCTAGAGTGCATTTAATAAGGAGGTTTTTAAATGATTCCGAAAAGTCGATAGGAGCATAATTATCTTCTTCCCCTGGGTATTTGTTCGTATAAAGCTGTTGCTTTTTGGAGGACGAGAGCCTTGTTTGTGGTTTTTGTGTTGTGAGTGGTCTTGTTTAGTTCACCGTGTTGTCTCAGTGTGGCTAGTGCGTTTTTGTGAAATGTTGGTAGCCTAGACTTTAACTTTAACTTTTTTCTTCCGCTTGTACCCTGGGGTGTCGCGGGGAGACACAGGTGTCTGTCTGCAGCAAGTC